AAAGCAATTTATCATTAAGTATTAACTTTGTTCGTGATCTACGCAGGGCACAAGCCTGGAACAGGATAGCCGGTTTTCAGACAAACAAAAAAAGTTATTAAAAAGCATGAATTTTCCCGCAGAATTCAATAGAAAGGTAAATAAGAATCTTTTTTTTATTTTTTTATTATAAATCAAGGATATTGTGTATGGCCCTTTTTAACTATTCGTTGGGCAATTTACTCTTCAACATTGAGTCCTGTATCACGCCTCGCTGATCTTTAGTCGACCATACGGCCCAATTTAATTTATAGAACCTTGCTAATGAACACATCCAACAAAAAATTTTAGTTTTACTTTTTGTGATTCTATGCTATCCATGCAATCTCGTAAGAGGCCGAGAATGGTTCGCCATTATCTTTTTCTGGATAATCAGTCGCCCATTAAGGCAACATAGATTTTTTTTAATATTTGCGATTAAAGTTTGGACTGATCCGCACAATTTTCTTTTCTTTGGGTCGTTGGTTTCAAATGTTCTTGGATAATTTCTTCGCCATTTCTTTGATAGAGGGAACGTGGTAATGGATAAATGTGTACAAAATTCGTCTTGATTGTTATCTAAACGATTCATCTCAAATATTATTACTTTTCATTTTATTTTCATTTGATAGGTTGATTTGAAAAAAGTGAATATGACGGTTATCAGACCATGGATCGCGCAAAAAATTGTTGACTTATTAGGAGGTGAAGACGAGGTTGTTGTTAATTATGTGTTTGGACTATTAGAAGAAACGGTTAGTCTTTTTTTTTTTTTTTTTTAATGAAAATTTTGGATGTCATACTTGCTTTATAATATTAACATTTTAATTGCGACTCGTATCCATAGGATCTTGATCCTAGAATGATGCAAATCAACCTCACGGGTTTCTTGGAAAGAAATGCACCTATTTTTGTCACAGAATTATGGAAATTGCTTTTATCAGCTCAAGATTGTGAGAGTGGAATTCCAGCAATATTTCTTGAGCAAAAAATGGAAGAAATCCG